TTAGCTTGTGTAAATCTTCCAATGCCTCACCTTGCATCCATTCATTTTTACTAACCTCTTGTATATTGTTTTCCCCTTCACCCAGTTTCACCCTTGTCTACTCCTCTAACCTTTGCCTTCCTCTCCTTCCCTCCACCTCTTTAGCCATCAAAGTATGTTTTATTGCGAAAACCTTTTCTTGGACTTTTTATAATAGTTACTTCATACAATATTTGTCCTTTTGTGATTGACTAATTTTTCTTTTATCTTTTTAAATTTTAATCGTTTTATTAGGGGCTCATACAACTCTTATCACAATCCATACATACATCAATTGTGTAAAGCACATTTGTACATTCATTGCCCTCATCATTCACCAAACATTTGCTCTCCACTTAAGCCCCTGGCATCAGGTCCTCATTTCCCCCCCTCCCTCCCCTCTCCCCCCTCCCTCATGAACCCTTGATAATTTATAAATTATTATTTTGTCATATCTTGCCCTGTCCAACGTCTCCCTTCACCCCCTTTTCTGTTGTCCACCCAGGGAGGAGATCACATATAGATCCTTGTAATCGGTTCCCTCTTTCCAACCCATTCTCCCTCTACCCTCCCAGTATCGCCACTCACACCACTGGTCCTGAAGGGATCATCCGCCCTGGATTCCCTGTGTTTCGGGTTCCTATCTGTACCAGTGTACATCCTCTGGTCTAGCCAGACTTGCAAGGTAGAATTCGGATCATGATAGTGGGAGGTGTGGGTAGGGGGAAGGCATTTAGGAACTAGAGGAAAGTTGTATTTTTCATCATTGCTACATCGCATCCTGACTGGATTATCTCCCCGAGGCCCCTCTGCAAGGGGCTCTCCAGTAGTCTACAAATAGGCTTTGGGTTTCCACTCTGCACTCCCCCAATCATTCACTATGGTAAGATTTTTTGTTCTGATGATGCCTGATACCTGATCCCTTCGACACCTCGTGATCGCACAGGCTGCTGTGCTTCTTCGATGTGGGCTTTGTTGCTTCTGAGCTAGATGGCCACTTGTTTACCTTCAAGCCTTTAAGACCCCAGACTTTATACCTTTTGATAGCAGGTATCCGCTTTCTTTGCCACATTTGCTTATGCACCCATTTGTCTTCAGCGATCGTATCATGGAGGTGAGCACACATGATATGATTTTTTGTTCTTTTATGCCAGATATCTGATCCCTTCAGCACCTCCTGATCACACAGGCTGATGTGTTCTTCCATGTGGGCTTTGTTGCTTCTGAGCTAGATGGCCGCTTGTTTACCTTCAAGCTTTTAAGACCCCAGATGCTATATCTTTTGATAGCCGGGCACCATCAGCTTTCTTCACATTTGCTTATTCACCCACTTTGTCTTCAGCGGTTGTGTCGGGAAGGTGAGCATCATAGAATACCAGTGATTGAGTAATTTCACACAGTACAATGTCCTCTAGGTTTACTCATGCTGTTTTTGCAGATTCATCGTGAAATACACATTTGGGGGAACAAAATTCAATTTATAACAGTGTATCACCAACAATCTCTCTCTCTCTCTCTCTCTCACACACACACACACACACCAATATGGTGTACGTACCTAAGTATCTGAGTCTGTTGCTAAATTTACTATGTACATGTTGTAAAGACAGAACTCCTCCCATGGACTTTACTGGTCCTGAACTATTTTGCTGTGTCTGACACCATCAATAAAAGCTCTTGAACTGCCCTGGTACGTGTGTAGACATACATTTGCTTCAGTCTGATGTTAACATGTATGCCTCTAATGCCAAAGCATCCTGCTTGTTATGTATGGCAACCTAGGTTGCACTTTTGCTGCACAATGTGACTGGCCTGTGTCCCCTTGGGTTGCATGTGTGTATATGGGAGAAAGTATCTCTCCCTTAGGAATGGAGCTCCTTTTGACTGTAATAGTATCACCCAGTAATAATAGGCACTAGGAACCCTAGTGGTACAATGGTTAAGCACTCAGCAGCAATTAACCTAAAAGTAGGTAGGTAGTTTAAACCTCCAAGTGGCTCAGTGGGAAAAAAGACCTAGGATTTTGCTCCCATAGAGATACAGCCTAAGAAACCCTATGGGGCAGTCCTGCCTATCGGGTCAGAGTCAGAATCAATTCAATGCCACACCGTTATTAACAATAACTCCAAGTGGGTCATAGAGACCATACTGACTTTAGGCTACATCCTGGTGATGTGAATACTGACTTGCTAGCCGACTAGACTTGGTCATAGTTGGGAAGATCAATGGGCAATGTTGAGGCCAATTATGCAGACTGGCCTTATCCTGTGCATAGTAGCCTTCATTAAATGCTGTGCTAGATCAATGGAACTGATTTGGCCCTACCCCCTGAAATTAGTCAGATTGACCAAGGTGGCCAATAAAGGGTGGACTCGTTTGAAATTTTAATTCATCCAAGAGTGTGCCAAGAAGAGCAGGCTGCTGGGAGAGATGATCTGATCTGATGCGAGTATAAGCTTGCCTGTATGTTTCTTGCTGTATGGGCTGTTCTTCACCTGGGCCATTTCTCAAGATTGTATTGGCAGCGAGCAATCTCAAGGAGTGATATCTCTCTAGGACAGAGACACTTGCTCCACATCACTTAAACTAACTTCCTGAGCTTAGTGATCTTCACCGACATGTCCATTGTATTCACAGGCTAATGAGACTCAATGGGTCCAAAGGGAATTGATGTGACCATGCTAACAAACATCAGACTCTGGTTTCTGGTGGGTCCAATCTGGTATCCTTTGCCATATCCTCTAATTTGTTAGCATATATAAAGGGTAGGATCTGAGACCCTTCACAGTTCTTTACAGTTCATTGTCTAAAGGTGAGGAGTCTTGAGGTAATTCATTATGCAGCACTAAATACATGTCCTACTGTTTGGGTAGTATCTTCTGTAGAGATTTACACTTATACTATACATGGGTCATTTAATCCATATGGATGGAGGCTATGAGTTGAGTCATGGATTGGGAGGTTTTATTATTTGGGCTTGTTTGCCAGCAGGTAGGGATGGCAGGTGTAAGGGTGTGGGGTCCCAAACTACACATATTCATGCTAGTCCTTATCTTGTACTAGGTACAGTGAGAAGTGTTTTTTTTAAATCATTTTATTGGGGGCTTGTACAACTCTTATCACAATCCATATATCCATCGTGTCGAACACATCTGTTGCCATCATCATTTTCAAAACATTTTTTTTTCTGCTTGAGCCCTTGGTACCAGCTTCTCATTTTTCTCCTCCCTCCCCACCTCCCAAACCCTTGATAATTTTTTATCTTTTAGGCATTCTTTATTTTCGGTCAAGATTCATCAGCCTTCAGCAATGATAATCCCTCATCCCATGCCCTCTTTTGAATTCTGCTTGGACTTCTGGTAGTCCCATACCTCATACTCTGTAAATCCTGTTAGCTCTACTTTGAGATGTATTCAATATCTGATTTCTTATTCCTGGACAGCCTGGTCTCATCCGCTTTCCAGTTCTACAGAGCAGCTGGAGTGTCCCATTTTATTATTTTTTAATCATTTTATTGGGGGCTCGTACAAGTCATCACAATCCATCCATCCATTGTGTCAAGCACATTTGTTGTCATCATCATTCTCAAAACATTTGCTTTCTGCTTGAGCCCTTGGTATCAGCTCATTTTTCCCCTCCCTCCCCGCACACGCTTCCCTCATGAACCCTTGATAATTTATAAATTATTTTTTCATGTCTTACACTAACTGATGTCTCCTTTCACCCACTTTTCTGTTGTCTGTCCCCCAGGGAGGGGGTTATATGTAGATCATTGTGATCAGTTCTCCCTCTGTACCCCCACCTTTCGCTTACCCTCCTGCTGCCACTGCTCTCATTATTAGTCCTGAGAGGTTTAATCTTTCCTGGATTCCCTGTGTTTCCAGCTCTGATATGCACCAGCGTACATGCTCTGGTCTAGCCGGATTTGTAAGGCTGAATTGGGATCATGATAGTTGGGGGGTGGGGAGAGCATTAAAGAACTAGAGGAAAGTTGTATATTTCATCAGTTCTATACTGCACCCTGGCTTGTCTCCTCCCCATGACCTTTCTGTAAGGGGATGTCCAGTGCCTACAGATGGGCATTGGGTCTCCACTCCGCACTCCCCCTCATTCACAATGATAAGATTTTTTGTTCTTCGATGCCTGATACCTGATCCCATCGACACCTCATGATCACACAGGCTGGTGTGCTTCTTCCATGGGGGCTCTGTTGCTTCTCAGCTAGATGGGCACCTGTTTATCTTCAAGCCTTTAAGATCCCAGACACTATGTCTTTTCCTAACTGGGCACCATCAGCTTTCTTGACCACATGAAAAGTGTTCTTGTACATAGTTTAATCCTAGCAACTGTCCTATAGAGGTGCACAATCTTTAGTTAAGGAGATAGTCTCTGAATGTCAGGGAGGCCAAGGGATATCTCAGGACCATAAAGTAAATCCCTGGGTCCCAGATATGACTTCTAAAAACTCTTGTCCTGACAACCAAGGTTGTTTTTGGAGCACTTTTGGGCAAAACAAAAAGTTCTGTGATTTTTGACACTCACACTGACAATGGGTACTCTTCCAGCCCACCTATGCCTCTGAAGGGGATGGATCCCTAAGTTGATCCAATGTGGAGCAAGTTTTAAAGAAAAGGAGTCAAGAGAAGGAGATTCTAGGGAGTGTTGTTCTGGACTTTGTCTCATGAGAGCTAATACGTTTCCTTATTGTTTAAACTACCTTCTATAAGTGATCTGCAAGGATAAACATTTAGAGTAACTTTAAAAAAACCTTAGTTCGGTAGAACTCGCATGGCTTTGCTTACACAGCTCTCTTATACTCTGGGACCTGAAGTCCTTTGTGAATTGAGAAATCTACAAATGCCCACCTTGAAAGTGAGAGAGACAAGCTTTATTGACTGGAATATCAACTATACCAGTAAGAGAGCATCTTTCCCAACAGTCTGTTTCTAACAATATAAATGATCTTATATAAAATCAATGAGTTAAGGCTATAAGTTTATTCACACATACAAATGCAAATAATCTACTCCTTATGACTTTTTTGATGGTGAGTAAGCCTTGAGCTCCGATTATAAGCTTTCCCACACTCATTACACTTATAAGGTTTTTCTCCAGTGTGTATTCTCTGGTGTATAATTAAGTGTGAGCGCCACCTAAATATTTTCTCACATTCATTACATTTATGTAGTTTCTTTATATTAATTTTTTTACGGCTCGCAAAGTTTGCACCTTCCAGTACATCCCCATATTCATAATACCACTGGGCCCTTGTGTGAATTCGCTGGTGTTCAACAAGATACGAACTGCGACTAAATGCTTTCCCACATTCACTACATTCATAGGGCTTCACTCCAGCATGAATTATCTGGTGTTGGAAAAGGGTTGAATTTTGACTGAAGGCTTTCCCGCATTCATTACATTTGTAAGGTCTCTCTCCAGTGTGAATCCTTTGATGGATTGTAAGCTGTGTGCTCATACTGAAGGCTTTTCCACATTCAAGACACTCGTAGGGTTTCTCTCCCTTATGGATCCTCTGGTGATAAATGAGGCTCGAACTCTGACTAAAGGCTTTGCCACAGTCATTACATGCATAAGGTTTCTCCCCAGTATGAATTCTCTGATGCTGAATAAGGTGTGAACCTTGGACAAAACCCTTCCCACACTCATCACACTTAAATGGCTTTTCTCCAGTGTGAGTCCTCTGATGGCGAATAAGTCTTGAGCTACAACCAAAGGCTTTTGTGCATTTGTTACATTTATATGGCTTCTCTCCAGTATGAATTAACTGGTGCTGACTAAGGCGAGAGATCCATCTAAAAGCTTTCCCACACTCATCACATTTAAATGGTTTATCCACGGTGTAAATTCTTTGATGTGGAGAAAAGCTTGGGTTATCTGAAGTTCTGGAGATTTGACATTTTCCCCCAGTGTGCATTCTCTGATGTTGAACTAAAGTTGAGCTCTGGCTGAAGGCCTTCCCACATTCCTTACACATGTAGGGCCTCTCTCCAGTGTGAGTCCTTTGATGTCTGATCAGCTGGGACTGTTGACTGAAGGCTTTTCCACACTCACAACAACTGTAAGGCCTCTCTCCTGTATGAATTCTCTGATGATGGATTAGGCTTGAGCTCTGACCAAAAGCTTTCCCACACTCCTCACATCTATAGGGTTTCTCTCCAGTGTGAATTCTTTGATGCTGAATAAGTTTGGAGCTCAGCCGGAAGGTTTTTCCACACTCAGTGCATTTAAATGGCTTCTCTCCGGTGTGGATTCTCTGATGCTGGTTAAGCTGTGAACACAACCTGAAGACTTTCCCACATTCCACACATTCATATTGTTTCTCTCCTTGGCATTGACTTTGATGCTTCCTCTGTAAATGATGAGATAGGTTTTTTTGGCACTCCTGACATTTCTTCGGTTTCTTTTGCATATTAAGTTCCCAATGTAGAGCAATATTTGAAATGGATTGGAAAATTTTGCCACACCCATCACATGTTTCTGCTGTTTCTTTAGTAAGATCTCTCTGATTTTCATTAAGTTTACAGTCCAGGCTGCTATTGCTCCCCACCTCATTACATTCTTGGTAGTTCTCCTGGATGAAGATCTTTTTGAGCATCACAGTCCCTTGATTTAAACAGTTTTTCATCATTGTCAACTTAGGGAGACTGTTCTGATCACCCTCTAGCCAGACCTCAGAATCAGAATTGTCTACAGAACCAGAACTTGGAGAAAAATCCTGTGGGGGGATTTTGATCCTTATTCCGTGTAATTCTGATTTTAGACTATCCATTTCCTCCCAAACCTGTTCATTAACAGTCCTAATAGTAGAATCTGAAACAAACAAACAAACAAAATGTTCCCTTAGTCTCTGTGCTCAGAAGAGGGAGGGTGAGCTATCATTGGGGGCACTGTCCTGTCCCAGGCAAGCAACCCTGACCATGGGGATGCACAAGTGGAAATACTACAAGAGATCAACATGTTTGACAGTTCTCAAAATGTGCTTTCATTTTTTGCCTTAATCATATCTCTATCCCAACACTGATAGCATGCTCATTATATATTAGGCAGAGTGTTAGTAGCTAAACATCCTAAAAGAGGAGTATAGTAGCAGAGAAGTTTTTCCTACAGGGAAATGGTAGGAGGATAAGTTTATAAAGGTGGCAATGTGTGAACAAAGTAAACCTGAGAAGAGTGAAATATTCTTAGAGGTAGAATTAGGCTAAGAGGGTCAGAGGCTCCAACACACCCAAAGAATGTCAGAGGGAGTGAGTGTGTGAGGGTAAAGAAATGAAAGAATGGGTGGGCCCAAAAGGTGAGCTCACAGAAAGCTGGCACAACCCACTCTGCAACCCCAACCACCTGTTCACCAAAGTGACCTGAGCCCTTTGCTCTCTAACTTATCCCAAGAGCTCACTACTCAACTAATTCACTGGAGTCATGGAGTCAAGTCTGACTCATAAGAGACCCTATGGGACAGGGTAGAACTGCCTCTGTACGTTCCTGAGACTGTAACTCTTTATGGGAATAGAAAGCCCTGTCTTTCTCCAATGGAGCAGTTGGTGGTTTCAAATCACTGACCCTGCGCTTAGCATCTCAATGTGTAACCACTATCCCATCTCCCACATTGCACCTGGTTGCAGCCCTTGCTAGCCTGCACCTCAGCTTCCGAGTGGACTTTCTCTGCCATCCTGAACCTTCTCACTGTACTCTTAAATAAAGGCCAGCTTCCTTCCTACTCTGCAAACACTGAGATGACCTTTGTTACAATACTCTGTACAGCCTATGATCATAACTACCTGCTCCCATGTGAATACTGCAGCCTATTTCTGCTTCCACAACTTACTCCTAATCAGCAATGGTGAGCCTCAAGGGCTTCATGATTTCCAGTGTACTCTCAGTCCTGGACTGTCTGTTTTGTAAAGAAGTGGCTACCCATTTAATCAGTATTTACTGAATACAAGGAACAGAGTCTGGTGTCCTCAATGAGTCTTCACAGCAACCCAATGAGGTCATCAGTTTCCCACTCCACAGGTAAGGAGACCATGGCTCAGAGAGGTTAGCGACTTGCCTGTAGTCACACAGCTAATGATGGAATCAGGAAATGGAATGCAGGCGAATCTCTCAAAACACAAACTTTCCCTAGCTCACTGTGCAACAGGGATACACTAGGGGTTGCTGGACATAGAGGGCCATCTCCAGCCTTTGTCCTCCTGTTTTTTGTTTTTTTTAAAAAACATTTTATTAGGGGCTCATACAACTGTCATCCCAATCCATACACACATCAATTGTGTAAAGCGCATTTGTACATCATTTCTCAAAACATTTTCTCTCCACTCAAACCCC